TCGACCACCACTTCCAGTCAGTCAAGTTGTGTACCAGACTGCCAGTCGCACTGGTTTATCCCCTTTCCATCGCGATGTAGCTGCACCTTGTCGGGGTGTGGTGGTTTGTGCACCTCTGACCCAACGAGCTACACTGGATGGTTTTTGCCAAGCTGAATATCTGATCATGTCTGGAGGGTTGGAGTTGGAGGTCAGATAAAGTCTTATCTCCTGGTTCTCCAGGTTGGGTTTCGACTAGAATTTGCGTTCCAGTCTGTAAAACATGGTGGAGCAGTAAGCTATCCAATTAAATGAACCTATACTTCACTTTACCCACTGCCTTGTAGTCAGGTTGTTGTCAGAATTAAAGGTTTTGGACGAGAACCGTGATCGTTCTCCTGGTTAGTGGCTTGGCACCCTGGCATTAACCGTCCATCAAACTCTAATGCATAAACAAACAAAAAATAATTTCTTCACATGATGAATTCATCGTGTAACTGAGACGTGAGCTGAAAAACTGGGAAGCACTGGACAGCTGTTTCGATCTGGTTCGGTTTCATCAGCAGTGCGAATCCATCCACTCAACTGGGGATCGAACCCGGGACTTCACAGGTAGAACGCAAGCATACTACCCACCCGGCCACCGGTCAGCTAATCAGACTGTTTCTCATTGTGAATTCACACGATATAGCACAACGCGTCTATGCGATATTGTTGCTAGTATCGGTCATTTACACGACGATTTTATCATCAAGACAGATCTCATGCAACAAATAATCAGGATGTGAAAGTAATGAGATGAGCGAGGACCGATACTCGCAATAAGCTCGCATTGATGGGTTGTGCTATATCGTTTAAATTCAAAATGAGAAACGGTCTGATCAGCTGACCGGTGGCCGAGTGGGTATTATGCTTGCATTCTACCTTTGAGGTCCCGAGTTCGAACACCAGTTGGGTGGATGGATTCGCACTGCTGATGAGACCCAACCAGATCGAAACAGCTATCCAGTGCTTCCCAGCTTTTCAGCTCATGTCTCATTTACACGACGAATTCATCATGTAAACAAATCAAGTCCTCCATTACTCTCATGCAAAAAGTAATTTCATACTGCACCGGTCGCGCATGATAATAATAATAATCTGATAATCTGTCCCGCGCCGCCCATTGTATCACACTGAGTGGGTAGTGATGAATGGGCTACTGCTCAAACATCCCAGCCTTTGTTTAACTTTGTCCTACGTACCCTACCCTCTCTCTTTACCCCTTCTTCCGACCTGTAACATTATCTCAGACAGCTTGTTCGTCACTCGCAAAAGTTCGTCACCAAGTAGCGCAGTAAATAGTTTACCACCAAATAGATTGCCTATTCAAAAGCCTGGTTGACCACAGAATCTGGGGCCTTCAGCGTGAGGAATACGATGCGGTAGGCCATCAAGCTTTTCCGACGTGTACAATGGAATCCTTAGGGATGGATATTTGCTGCGTATCAGAGACTCAAATTCGAAATTTAACTACTACAGGCCACTTGGGTGCGCCAGATTTTTCATCGCGATACTTAATCCACACATCAGGCGACGACGAAGTTCGCTCAGTAGGTCAGTGTGGTGCAGACATTGGAATCAGTAATAGCCGAAGCGTCTCTAATCGATTGCATCTCCGTTAACGGCCGCTTATGTGCAATGTGGTTCTAAGGATCCACCAGCGCCCGAAAGGGAAGCAACATCATCATCACCATTGCACAGCGTAATACAGTGAAGCGAACTTCACTGATCGCTGCCAAACTCATATTGCATACAAGATAAGTGAGAATGTGTAAGGAGGACAGAGATGGGGCCTATTTTTAGGGACGGGAAAATAAAGCAAACCTCTATGGTCAACACACAGAGTACACAGTTCAACTGTGCATACATACTATTTCAAGCATTCTGGTCTGATAAGAAGTGACAGCATGATCGCCATTACTGTCGGTTCGTAGTCATGACCTTCAGTGTCTGCGACCATGCGGTTTCTGAATCTTTTGGACCCCAACCCGGAAGATGAGAGATACCTACTCTACCTAATCGCTCTGTGCATTTCTTTATGCCTTGTCTCCACGTCGTATGCTGGCCTCTATGTGGCTTTCTCCAGCCAGTAACAGCCACTGCAAGCAAGGCGCTCTGTGGTAGGCGACATGCGCTATAACGTGTCCTAACCAACGGAGCCTACTGAGATGAATTCGATGAGATAGTGAGTTCTTGTTTGATGTATTCCCAAACACCCGACGACTTACTTATAAGTTACCAACCCGCTCACTCCATCCAACCTGGGCCAGACTACGTAAGCATCGATTGTCGAACACTGCTAAATGACGGGTGTCTTCTACCCACAAATTCAAAGTCTCAACCGTAAAGTAGAACTGATCGTACGGTGGCTCAGTATACACGACTTTTCGACTTAAGTGTCACGTCACGTCGCGGCCACAGATGTTTTATTTCTGCGTACGCTGCTCGAAAATGCTTGCTGCTTGGAAATGCGGGCGGTTATCTCCTTCGATGCCCCACCGTCGTTGGTCACGCAGCTACCTAAGCAAGGGAAGCAGTCAACTTCAGCTGACTCCTGACCGTCTAGTTTCAGTACACCACTCGGCGAAAACTAGTCTTGTAGGATCATTTGAAGGTTGCAAAGCGCATGCCGAATGGAGCAACAGAATTTGCTAATCTGTCAAGTGCTCTTTGTGCATCCTCCATACATTCGAACAAGCAAATGATGTCGTCAGCTTACTCCAAATCGCGCAGCCTATCTCCAGCTGCCCATTCAATACCTACATTTTGGAGATCACTTAGTGTGTTTTCCAGTATTTCGTCTATGACGAAATTGAACAGGAATGGCGAAAGAAGGTACCCTTGACGAACACCGCTGTTAGTTACGAACGACCTACTCAGCTTGCCATAGACCCTTACGCTATCAGAGGTATGTGAGTAGAGCGAACTCAGTACGTTTGCATACTTCTGCGGCATTCCCTTGCGAAGGAGTGAACGCATAAGGGATTCACGATCGACTGAGTCGAAGGCTCCTTCTAGGTAAAAGAACACGACAACCTCCATGACCTTCACGTTTTTTCCTCCAACCTGAAACCGCAACTACTGAACTCCACTGATGACGACGGTGGTGAAAGCTGGTCACAGGCCCTAACCCGAACTGAGAGATTAAGATACAGCACTTTGAAAATCAGTACACTTATCAGCTACCATATACTTCTCAGGTCTCTGAAATACTCATTATAGTTGGGGTTGGGTGTCTTAGGTGATGGCTACTCACCTCACCATTACACCTGAAATGCTCTCATACGACCAAGCGTCTCAAATAGCCTCTGCTTAGGAAGGCCTACTCACTGACTTCTCGTGGCGGAGGTGTCTCCTACCACAGTGAGAGAACGAAAAGCCGATATCCGGAGCTATGACTGGGTTAGTGGACCACTGGCAGTTTACCTAGGGGAGTTGGCCAAAATCATTAATTCCAAACCAACCTTGACGAGGCTTGGGAACCACACAACTTCCAGGTCGTGGCAGTGGTCACTGGCTTGATTGGGCATCGAGGTATGTTGGGCACCTTGGACGTTTGACCCCGTCCAAAGAGCGAACGATCCGATAAACTGAACACTGGCTCTCAATGGATTGCGGTTTTCGCACACCACCCCGCTGCCTTGCGGGTCAGGCTTTGGCTAACCGAAGGCTCCGTTTGTGGATTCCTCAAGAAAATTCACCTGCGTTGGCCTGAGCAACCTGGCAGTATTCGCCCACATGCAAATCGTGGAATGTTTTTCTTTTTCATAAAGATTATTGTACCATGATTTGTTTGGCACACAGTCTGGATTCAGACGTGTGTGAAAATAAATTATAATAAACGCGAGAGGACGAAAGGTCAATATCCGGGACTATGACCGGGTCGGTGAACCACTGACAATACTCCCTGGAGAGTTGGCCTAAAACCCTGGTTCCAAACCCACCAAGAAGAGGCGTACAAACCACGCCCACACACCTTCCTGATTGTATGTGTATTTCTCACATCCTAATGCAGACTGTGCCTTAAAAATCATAGTAAAGTAATCTTTAGGATGGAGCATTGATCCTTCATCAATATAAAATGGTTTCCATTGAGGTAATTCATCCATCCGCTGACCTGTTTTCCCAGTGAATAGTGGTGCTGTGCTGCTGCCAAGTGAGTCCTTGAAAATAGGGCTAACCGTCTGCGATTCTCGTTCAGCGTAGCGGCGATCACCGCATCCAACTTGCCTGTTTCTACTACAAGAGGTTGTCGGAAATCAAATGAAGCTGAATTAGTTTTATCGAGTTCTTCCAAGCACGCAGAGAAGTTCTTTGCATCCCCTGGTAAGGAATACAACCTGTATTGTACCCGAGGATGGATTTTATCAGAGGCATGAGAAAACTAACCGATGATTTGCTATTGTGCTTTGATATTCACGAGTGGGGTTAACTGTCACGCTGTCTAAAAGCTGCCAGGTCAGACTTGATTATTTTTTGGTTATCTGATGCTTTGCAACAAGATACCTCTGTACCGTTATTCATCATGCATTCCGTCAAGATTGTTGAAAATGGTCACCATTGAGTGATACTAAACGAGTTACTGTGGAGTCAATAAGCATTAATGTCGGTCTGATGCGGCTCCCGATAATATCCTATTGTTGCTAGTAAGTTCAGAGCTTGCCTGCTTCGCCTGATTAGCAAATGCTCATGAGAATCCACTTATTGTGCTTGTGTTAAATTGGTTATTGTTGTTCAGGTCATTTGAGTTACTGTTGTTCGTTATTTCTATCCCCCGTGGTACGTTTTTCTTAGCACTATGTGCCTTTACGATGACCGGAAACTGATCCATCAACACTAAATACACGAAATAGTAAATTATTCGTTTGTTTACCCAATCGCATTTTCACAGGCTGTGTACCTTGAGCTTGGTACAAATCATTCTCGATCGCCCGTTAGAGCCAGACAGCACTAACACCGGGTTTTTCGTCGTAGTGCGCATGGCTGGATCTGCTCGCCGGGTACTTCGGTCGCCGGAGATCACCCTAATCCCTGCAAAACCTACTGGTCAGGTAAATGGCATGCCGGTCCCTTGCTCGCCTCCCGGTGGACAACCACCACCACCACTACAGTTTCCGACAGAAACATTCATGGGTCCCGGTCTCAGCACTACGGTTGGACACAATTATTCACAGGGATTATCAACAGCTGGGACAACAACAGCTACCACAACAGCTGTCATTGGAGAATCCACGGGTAGTGGAGCTGGTGGTTGTGTATCTATCGACTTCAATTGCAGCATTCAATATTCGCACATGTTAAATCGCGACGCGAATACCCTGCAAATCCTGATCCAACGTCGGAAGAAGTACAAAAGCAAAACGATGAACTTGGGATACAAAACACTTGCCTATTGCAATGTGAATTTGGCTCAGGTGAGCAGTTTTTTGTTTCTGGGGTTTGCTCAGAGATTCTCACAGAAATCAGTATTCGTGCAATCGGGTTCTATGAAATTGATCAATTATGTTCACAATAGACCACTCACAATGCAGCGGCTGTTACTGGCTGGAGAAAGCCACATAGAGGCCAGCATACGACGTGGAGACAAGGCATAAAGAAATGCACAGAGCGATTAGGTAGAGTAGGTATCTCTCATCTTCCGGGTTGGGGTCCAAAAGATTCAGAAACCGCATGGTCGCAGACACTGAAGGTCATGACTACGAACCGACAGTAATGGCGATCATGCTGTCACTTCTTATCAGACCAGAATGCTTGAAATAGTATGTATGCACAGTTGAACTGTGTACTCTGTGTGTTGACCATAGAGGTTTGCTTTATTTTCCCGTCCCTAAAAATAGGCCCCATCTCTGTCCTCCTTACACATTCTCACTTATCTTGTATGCAATATGAGTTTGGCAGCGATCAGTGAAGTTCGCTTCACTGTATTACGTTGTACAATGATGATGATGATGACTCACAATGAAAATATCCGTTCGATTGTGCATGAGCCATTAATCGCTTCTCCTCTTTGATTGACTTCTTAGGCTGCACGATGTGCGTTGGTTCTGAAAAGCTTAAAATACTCATACTGAAATCTGTTCTTATTTTCTTTTTTCACCATATTTGTATGCATTTGCAGCAAGATTTTTGCATTGTTCTTTATATCCCATTCCTTAATTGGTTAGCTCCTGTTTCTCAACGGAGCTATTTTTCGATTTATTTTTTTCTTACAGTCTGCATGCGTGGGGGTTGAAGATTAGATAATCAAATCAGGTTCATTTCCCCCTCACTGGGTCTTTGCACGCATGTTTCTGTCACATCAAACATTTTTGTATTAACTGGCCACCTTTTTGACCTCATAAATTTGATCATTTTCTCATGCTTTGGGTCATCCTGATGCTAACACTGCATGCATCATAATTTCGAACTATCTGCTTGTTTAGATCACGTTTTGCTCCATGAAAGACACACACATATATACATATGAATTGAAGAGGATATTTTAGCTCTCTCTCTCTCTATATATATATATTTGTATATTTATATATATATCCTCTTCAATTCAGACCCATGTATTGATTAAAGAATAAGTCACATTGAACTGCAGTTTGTAGGACATTCAATCATAATCAGTTGTACATCGCACAAGTTTTCGCTAACGAACGTCACACTCTATCTTTCGTCCATACCAATACTAGGACGACGATAAATATGACAGATCCACTTAGCCAAGGTCTATCAAGTTGCGGTCATGAGTTTCGTTTCTAGGTTGTATCAAAGGTTCGCACACACGGGCATTCACATATAATGTTAAAAAAATCAGTGTATGTAGTGATTGTGTTTGTTGATCGTCTGAGCAATATGACGTTTTACGTTTCAGCTGCGTTGATAATCGAAGAATCTGAGTATCTTCGTTTGACTTTTTCTGAATTGTACATAGTTCGATGCATCCTCAGTTGAATTGAACATTCACATTCCTCTGATGCGTTGCCGTACAGTTCTTTTTTAAATTTTCACTTCTGTACCCTACTCGCTTTTGAACGTCTAACCCAACCTAACAGGTTCTACAACGGCGAATTGAGAATCGATTTTTGGAACTGTACACCGATCCTAAATGCAGCACACATCCAATTGGTCGTGTGGAAGTTCAGTGCTTGTCCACTTCACCTATTGAAAAGGATCTAATGAATGGAAAACGAAAAGGTGACAGTCTATCTACATTTGTCATGTTTTATGTCAGTCGTTTTGCTTATTACATTAGCCATTGCGCTTTTACTTTGTTGTCCTCGTTGCCATCTATTGGTTGCAGGGGCCAATGAATACACACCCAAACCACTAAGTTCTCAACTGTCTCCGCCACTGATTTCTTTAGGTGCTTGTCCCGTGATGTTTTTGGCCTGTTTTACGCAGATATCATCAGAGGTGCACATAATCTATGTGGAACTCGACCTGCATCGTAAAGTATCTGCACAAAGTTCGTAGTCGTGCTCGGTTAAGGGTGGTTTACAGCAACCTTAGGTATTTACTTAAGATGTTCACTTCGGTGAAATTTATTATCCATTGTGAATTGTTAGGCAGTATGGTGAAAGGCAATGGTGCTTGCATTTATTGACTCGGGATCACTTACCTCCCATTTAAGAACCAGTTCTGCTGCATCAAGGAATAGTCAAGGACTGTTTTGCCTGATGCGCAGCACCGGAGTTCGTCGCATACCGGTCAGTGAGACCATTTGCGATAAAAGTGGACAAAGCATCCACAATAAAGA